GCTTTAATAACTGTTAAAATAATATATCAAGCAGATCTCTTCTATATATCTCAGTTATTTGAAAGAAATTTAACTGAGATAATATTCAGAATAACTGTGTTATCTGAAAGGATTATATTATAATACTGCTAACACACCCTCTAAATAACTATTTTTATTTTTATTTAAAAGCTTTAAATAAATCTTTTATTTTTAGATTGAAAAAAGTAACTTTTTTAATAGAATAAAGTTTGATTTTTCAAATAACCCACCCTCTTTTAATTCTCTGCTAAGAGGGTTTTATATAGTTGATGAAAGTGAGAAGATGATTATATTTCCCTTAATTCTTCTCAGTTTCAAACAACTCAACATTCTAATCAAATTCACTTTTAAATATACACTTCTGTCAAGTGATTCCATCAAACAGAAAAAGAACCCCTTCTAAGACGACTCCTCCGCAGCCTTCCGGGCTTTGACACCTCTGGGCTTCTTCGCAGGAGCCTCTTTCTTGGTCTTTTGGGAGGCTCTGAGGGCGCTGGCACGGCTGACGGCGACTGCACGGAGATCAGGGCGGTATCCGCTCTTGGCGGTGGTGTTGGCAACTCCCTTGTAGATTCTGTTTGTATTTTATTTAAACAAAAAAGCGTATCAGCCAATTCATCCTCAGAAGCGAAAAACAAAATCGTGTGCGCTTCCCCATCTCAATTCTTCTCCCTTATCTCCCATGGTCGAGACCAGACGCGTGAAAGGATCAAGCTTACTTTCGGCTGGCAGCAGTGGAACTGTAGGTGTTGGTGATAGCGTTGGAGGCGGGTTTGTTGCTCATGCCTGGCTTCTTGGTGGGAACGGAAACGTTTCCATTCTCAGTGAGATGGATTCCAATGGCCTATATTTCCATCACCAATCACCAAAAATTGTTCAGTCTCATATTATTCACTTCCCCTATAGTAACGCCAATTGTCTGCTGTTTCGTTTTCCTCTGTGAGAAAATTAATGCCCTTACCTTAGAGTTTGCGAAGCCGGCATACTATATATCAGGGAAAGCCGCCACTCGTCAGTTTTGCTCAGGTTACAATACGTAGATACGCATATATAAAGGAGTGCGAACCTTTCGCGAGTGCTTGTTGGCCAGGTTAAGAGGGTCACGGGAGAATTGGCAGCCGGGACGCTTCACCAGGAACGAGTTCTGGGCACCTTTTAACTCAAATCTCACAATCAGTCCACAGCTGCTTCCGGATAGTTCAAAAATCAAGGTAGCAACGTACGGGCAATCTCCCAGACGAGGTCGTCCGAAACGTTAGATCTGCCTGCGTACGACATGATGCGAGTTGGAGGAGTCGAATGGGGTCGAGCAGGTGGGGTGGTGTGAAAGTAGGCTACTTCTTCGTCCTTTTGATCGCGATCAAGTTGTGTGTTCGCAAGTCTTGGCAGTCAAGCCAGCTGTGCCACTTTGGGCTCGCTAAAATATTCGGTTTGGGAACACAGTATTCAATATCGGAATTACTATAATCCGCAAAGACAGATTCTGTTAGGCCGCTGGAGCCGCCTGGCAGCAAAGCCAAAGGTAAAAAATGATATGATGCTATATAATATACAACTGGATTAAAGGGTCTAGCAGAGTAAATATATCATCTATATCAATTTTCAAAATCTCATCTCAGTTAAATTTAGTTTATTTCTACTGAATATGTAGTAATTTTGACTTATTATTCTTCTGTGGTGTATGCCACCCTCTATTATCAAGAATAGTGTACATTACCACACTAGTTATTTTGTATAAGAAGAGCTGCAAAGCCTAGAAGCTTTGAACAGCTCAAGCAATCTTTGAATCATATCTGATAGTATATCTAAATCAAAAAAAGTATACACTTCTGAAAATGTAATAATTCTGTCTATAGACTGGCTGTGTGACCATGCATGGGACTGGGACCAAATTTTTCCTCAGTTCCATTATTAGATATCTTAGTCCTGGTCCCATATAGTGTTTAGCAAATTAGTCACTTTACACTGTTTATATTATAAATCTAGTCCCAGATCATGTTTTACTAATAAATTAGTGATCCTGGTCCCATTTGATCCCATTTTACAAAATGGGACCAAATGGGACCATGATTTACCCTATATAGGTTGGCAGTGATAGATAGGTTGGCAGCGGTAGGTAGGTTGGCAGCGGTAGGTAGGTTGGCGGCGATAGATTAGCAGCGATAGATTAGCAGCGATAGATTAGCAGCGATAGATTAGCAGCGATAGATTAGCAGCGATAGATTAGCAGCGATAGATTAGCAGCGATAGATTAGCAGTGATAGATAGATTGGCAGCAGTAGGTAGATTGGCGGCGGTGGGTAGATTGGCAGCAGTGGGTAGATTGGCAGCAGCACTAAGCAAGATAGAGGTAATATCTCCACCAATCATATCATCAGATTGATGTATTATATAATCATCAGAATGAGATCAAACTTGAGTCAAAATCATAATCAGTTCCAAATCATGTTCTGATTTTGATAGTTAGTTACTTTACATGGAATATCAAGATTTTTTTAGTTTCATTTCACTTATATTTTGATAATTCTAGTCACTTTACACTTTCATTCTGATTCTGATTTCACTAAAATCATGTCAAGAAATGAACTGAGATCAAATCAAATCAAATCAAATGTGTAATTCATGATCTCAGTAGTCAGTCTATCTGTCTATAATATAAGTTGTAGTTATTATATCAGTATAATTATTTCTACTAGACTGGCTGTGTGACTATGCATAAAACTGAAACTAAAATTTTCTTCAGTTTCATTATTAGATATCTTAGTTCTGATTCTATATAATGTTTAGTAAATTAGTCACTTTACACTGTTTATATTATAAATCTAGTCTCAGATTATATTTTACTAATAAATTAGTAATTTTAATCTTATTTAATTTCATTTTATAAAAATGAAATCAAATGAAATTATGATTTACTTTATATAGATTGACAGTGGTGATAGATTAGCAGTGATAGATAGATTGACAGTAATAGATTAGTAGTAATAGATTAGCAGTGATAGATTAGCAGTGATATTATTATTATTATTATTATTCTTCTGTTATACTTATATGCAAGCAGTGCTTATGACAAGTTCTTATGTAATGTTAAATACAGACAAGAGTTGATTATACAGAAGGAATGCTTAGTGTTGAATGATATCAAGAATATAACTAGAATATAGAAAAATTAATGAAAGACAGGATTTGATACATGCAATACAGATTTTCAGCTCAGAAATAATAAGCTAAATCAGATAGTAGATCTGCTCAAAGATATCTACTTGACAAGTTCACATCTCTTTATTTTAGAAGCTGAGAAGTTGGCTCTGAATGTAATATTGTTCTCTGCAGATTTCAAACCCACATATCTTGAGTCTCCATACCAAGATGCTATCTGATGACTGCACTACCCATTCAGCCACCGGGGCAATTAGCAGTGATAGATTAGCAGTGATAGATAGATTGACAGAAATAGATTAACAGTGATAGATTAAAAGTGATAGATTAGCAGTGGTAGATAAATTGACAGTGATAGATTAACAGTAATAGATTAGCAGTGATAGATTAGCAGCAATAGATTAGCAGTAGTAGATAGATTGACAGTAATAAATAGATTAGCAGTGATAGATAGATTGACAGCAGTAGATAGATTAACAGTAATAGATTAGCAGTGATAGATTAGCAGCAATAGATTAGCAGCAATAGATAGATTGATAGCAGTAGATAGATTGACAGTGATAGATTAGCAGTGATAGATTAGCAGCAATAGATTAGCAGTGGTAGATAGATTGACAGCAGTATAGATTAGCAGTGGTAGATAGATTAGCAGCAATAGATAGATTGACAGCAGTATAGATTAGCAGTGGTAGATAGATTAACAGTGATAGATAGAGAATCTAATAGTAAATCATTAGAGTATTGAGCATTAAGTAAGATAGAAGTAATATCTTCATCAATTATATTATCAGATTGATGTATTATATAATCATCAGAATGGAATCAAACTTGAGTCAAAATTATAATCAGTTTCAGATTATATTCTTGTTTTTGATAGTCAGTTACTTTACATAGAATATCAAGATTTTTTAGTCTCATTTCACTTATATTTTGATAATTCTAGTCACTTTACACTTTCATTCTAGTTCTGATTTCACTAAAATCATGCTAAGAAATGAACTGAAATCAAATCAAATCAAATCAAATGTGTAATTTATGATTTCAGCAGTCAGTCTAACTATTTCTGAGTAAATCTTCAGTTTTTTAACTATTTTTTTAGTTCAAGAGCTTCTCAGTAATTTTTATAAATTATATTCTTTTCTCAATCTGAATTCAGATTTTATATTTTTATTTTTTATATAATTTTATTTCAGAAGATTGATACTATTTTCTTATATCTGAAATTATAACAAACTTCTAACTCTTATATAATTATATATCAGTGAATTTTTCTTTTTTCAGAATACTGTATTAACTGTGTTGATCTTCATCTGTAATATTTCTTAGTTTATTTATATACTATATATTCATATCAATTATAATAACAATAAATTTATAGTATTTTATAATATTTTTTATAATTGTGAGTTATTTTTGAATCTTTTTTTAACTTTTTTAATATAAAAGTTGATTTATATAAAGTTCTCACTGATCTATTCTTTCAAAAAGTTTGTGAAAAGAAATTATTCTTCTCTTTTTCTTCTCTGTGTTTTTAATATCAGTCTTCTCAATATAGTAACTATATCACTTCTATATATCATTCATTTATAATCTTAAATTTTGTCTTATATAGATTCTCTTAATCTTTTTCTTTAAATTTTTTCAGTTTTTATTTGATATTCTTAAGTTGTTTTTTAAGAAATATAATAATTTCTTTTCTATTCAGCTCTGATATTATATCTGTGAATACTAATATAAAACTATATTTATCATCTATATTACTGTCAGTGATTACATTTTTTTTATTACTATTGTATATAGATTATATAATTTATAGATGTTTTTATTTGAAATAATAGCTATTATTTTTTTTTACTGTGATGTATAGAATAATCTTCTTTTATATAGAATATTCAATGAATAATATTGTGATTTGAATACTCTAAGTTTTCAATATTTTGTAAACTAGATAATTTCTTATTTTCTTTATTCTCTGTTTCACAATAAACACAGTTATTAATTTTATATAAATAGAATATTTTATAGTATAAATGATTTGAATCTGTTTGTTATCAATTGATATCATTCTCTTATACTTATATATAATATTTATAATCATATTCATATATTATATATTTTTGTGTTGAGAATATTTCACATCAATTATTTCTTTATTTATTTATTTGATATAATGTTCACATTTACTGTGTAGTAGCTTATATATTTATAACTTATTCATATCTTAAAACTATTGATGATATTATTCACATTCTTCTTAGATTTATTATTTATAATTTATTTAAAATCTATCTATAGTTTACTGTATATATATCATCTTCTGAATTTATTTTTTTATTAATATCTATAAATTATTTCAATTTCAATTCTGATAATCTGTGTTTCACAGTCTTTTTTATTTTTTTTATTAAATTTTTTTATTACTTTTAGATATTCTATCTTCTATAACTTTATTATTATATATAGTTTTTTATTTTATTTCTCAAAGTATTATTTGATTATATATTCTGACTTTTTATAATTGAAATATAACTTTTTATATTGATATTTCTGTTTTTTATCATTGTTTTTTTTTGATGATATAATAGTATTCAATTTCATCAGATATAATTTATAATAGTTATTTTATTTTTTATAAATTCTAACTATAGATATATAGTAATTTTTTTTCTCTAATCTTTATTTATAGAGTTGATTATTAATTCTAACAGCTGTTTCAATCATTGCTGATAACTTTTTGAATCTCTGAATTAATTTTAATATTTTATTTTTAACTTTTTTATATAATTTTTAATAAAATTATACTGCTAAAGCTTTATTATCTTAGTTTAGATATAAATTCAATTACTGATATTCAGATGTATATTATATAACTGATTTTATCTATTTGAATTGATATAGTTTTTGAGCTGTAAAATGTTTTTTATTAATATTTTCAAATATCTGTTGTAACTGATGAGTGAATCAAATATAACTATAAAACATTCTTATAATTTATTATTACAGTCTTTCTTTACTTCATGAAATTATAATCTGATTCTAGATTTAAATCAATTAAATGTAGATTTTATTAAAAATATTGATGCTAGTAAGATTTTATCTGATTCTTCTATCAATTTAAATTTATTTACAGTAAAATAGATATTTATTTAATTAAAAAAGACTCAATTTTCTATATTCTTCACTGAAGAGTATAGAAGAA